CAGAAGCGGCTTTTTTGTTCCCTGGAGGTTCTTGCCCGCCGTGCGAGTGCTTGTGCAGATGCCTGCGATTCGCGTGGTGTAACTGCAGCAGTTGTTGCCTTTTTGCGGGAGTTTGGGCTTGCTGCTGGTGTTTTCTTTTCGTCTCAGCTGCAGCAGAAGGCTGGGGGCGCAGCCAGGGGGGATGCAACAGAGGCATCCCGTGCTGCGCTGCTGCTAGTTTCCGCTCACTTTCGCTGCAGCACAACAGCAAACTCTGCGGAGCTGTTAGTGCAGCGGCAGGCTCTGGGCTGCATCGCTGCTGTATTCCGTGCGGCTCCTCAGCTGGGGGCCCCAGGCTCTGCTGCACTGGGGGAAGCGCTTGCTGCTGCTGCAGCTGCTGCTGTCGCTCTACACCGGGTGCTGGGGTCAGAACCCCGCCCACGTACAGACCGAGGACTCCAGCGCTATCTGAAGCAGCAGCACCAGCAGCAACAACAGCACTTCTTAGCTCTGGGCCTCGCTGCCGCACAGCCGAAGCACGTGGCTCTCATTAGGGCTCTCCTCCTTTCTATTCATTCTCTCTTGGGTGAACTGGCTCGAGCAAGAAGTGCAGCTACTGCTGCTGCTGCTGCTGCTGCTGCTGGGAGAGGCATTGGCACTGCTGCTGCAGACGCTGCAGCCCTCCCGGTCTCTGCAGCAGCTCCCCTCGGTGCAGAGGGGGAGGTAAGCGTTGAGCTGCTGCTGTTGCTGCTTCCCCTTGCGCTGGTGCAGCCTGTTACTGCTGCTGCGCTGCAGCAACCGCTGCAGCACCGGAGCGGTGCTGCTGCAGCAGGGTGGGGCCCCTCGTGCGGCCTGACGACAGATTTTGCCTCGACACAAGAGAGCGATATAGACGGCAGCAGGCTGCGTGGCTCCCCTGATGCTGCTGCTCTTCCTGCTGCTGCAGCAGCTGCTGCTGCTGCTGCTCGAGGGCCCCCAGCAGGTCTTAGCTGGAGAAGGGGCCCTGCCCCCCGGCTTGGGGGGAGCTGCCACCCCATCAGGGTATCCTGTTCAGAGGAGGAGGCCCCCAGCGCTGCCGTCGATGGGGG